CCTCATGCATGCAAGGCAAACACTCTATCACTGAGCCACCTTCCCAGCCCTTCTTTTTTTCCCCCCTAGGATCAGCCTCAATGGAGAAGTAAATAGAGAAGATAAATCCACTAACTCCCAAGTAATCAGGAAAGCTAGTGTAAGGTCCATTCCTGGATGGTGAGCGGACCCCGTCCAGTACCTGCATAACCTAGGCAACTGGGACACCTGGAAGAGGTCACATCTGCATCCGCTGAGGTCACATCTGAATTTGATGTAGCCATATCTTTCTCCCACTTGGTCCCACCTCCTCTTACCTGGTCCCACTTCCTTTTACCTGGACACACCTTTCCCCACCCCTACCCTAGATAAGGCCTAACCCAGGGCCAGACGCTTTTGCCACCCAAGTGGACTGCCAACCTGTCCTGGTCCCAGCAGGTCTACTGAACAAACCTACCCCTTACCTGAATGCCACGTGTGTGGTGCTGTTCTTACTCGGCTTCCTCTTTTGATAAACCTAACCACTAGCACAGCATATATAGGCTGGGGTCTGGACTTTGGTTCATACAGATGCATCAATTCCATGGGATTCACCCTTGCTTGATGAGCACATGTTAGGGTTCCCAAGAGAAGCTTCTTCAGTACTTAGGGGCAGCTGGGGGTCAGCTGCCTTCCTCTTTGCATATCTTTCTCAGAGGGTTCTGAGAGGGGATGGTTGGGGTAGGGAGATTGTTACTCTACTTCCTCTAGCAGCATGTTTTGTTTTGTTTTTGGATACCATGTTGGAGACTAAATTCAGGGTCTTTTGCTTTCCCTTAGCTTTTCCTTTAAGGCTGGTGCTCTGCCATTTGAGCCACACCTTCCCTTCTGGACTTTTGCTGGTTAACTAAAGAGTCTTTCAGATTTGTCTGTCAGGGCTGGCTTCAAACCTTGATCCTCAGATCTCAGACTCCTGAGTAGCTAGGAGTATAGGTATGAGCCACAGGTACCTAGCTCTACCAGATTTTTTTTTTTTTTTTTTGCCAGTCATGGGGCCTGAACTTCGGGCCTGAACGCTAGGTGCTGTCCCTCGGCTCTTCAGCTCAAGCTAGCTCTCTAGCACTTGAGCTACAGTGCCACTTCCTGCTTTTTCTGCTTATGTGGTGCTGAGGAATTGAACCCAGGGCCTCATGCATGCAAGACAAGCGCTCTACCACTGAGCCACCTTCCCTGCCCTCTACCAGATTTTTTAAGAGTGGAGGAAAAAGTAGCAGGGAAAATGTCAGAGGGATATTGAAAAATCTGTAAAGCAATCTATTTCTTGTCTTGAAGAATCATTTAGATTCTTTTTCAATGATTGCTCAAATAGCTCTGGGCTCTATTCTTCTAATCAGCATTCTAGGAATCTAATCCATTTTTATCACAGCTTGTTTTTCAGTAGCAATTATCAAATACTCTGAGCACCCTACTCTGTGCAGGGACCTAGAATAACCACTTGGGATTATAGAGGACTAAAGTAAGCTGGAAAGCTTTTAAGAATGAGGAGGAACAGGAGGCCTATTGGGGAGATAGTCAGAATTTATGGTTAGAAAAGCCAGCTATCAGGAGAAATGGAGTGAATAGAAAGTCATGTGGACTATAAGACATAGGATAACAAATGAAGGAATAGTGTATGGAAAGTAATAACAACAAGCTGGGTGTTGGTACCTGTAATCCTAGCTACCCCCAAGACTGAGATCTGAGGATACTGGTTTTAATCCCACACAAGCAGAGAAGTCTGTGAGACTCATATCTCCAATTAACAAGAAAAAAGCTGGCAGTAGAGTTGTGGCTCAAGAGATAGAACACTAGAGCAAAGGAAGGGGTAACACTGTCCAAAGAGAAATGTACTCATTATCTGACTTATGAAATGGTAACTCCTCTGTATATCACCTTTATAATAACGAGAGAGAGAGAGAGAGAGAGAGAGAGAGAGAGAGAGAGGCAGAGACAGAAACTAGTCTTTTTTTTTTTTTTTGTCGGTCGAGGGGCCTGAACTCTGGGCCTGGGCGCTGTCCCTCAGCTCTTCAGCTCAAGGCGAGCGCTCTACCACTTGAGCTACAGTGCCACTTCCGGTTTTCTGGTGATTTATTGGAGATAGGAGTCTCACAGTCTTTCCTGCCCGGGCTGGCTTTGAACCGCGATCCTCAGATCTCAGCCTCCTGAGTAGCTAGGATTACAGGCGTGAGCCACCAGTGCCCGGCGTCTTTTTTTTTTTTTATTAGTCATGGGGCCTAAACTCTGGGCCTGGGTGCTGTCCCTCAGCTCTTTAGCTCAAGGCTAGTGCTCTACCACTTGAGCCACAGCACCACTTCGGGCTTTTTCTGCTTATATGGTGCTGAGGAATCAAACCCAGAGCCTCATGCATGCAAGGCAAGCACTCTACCATTGAGCCACCTTCCCAGCCCCCAGAGCACTAATCCTGAATGAAAAAAACAGGCCAGAGCACAAGGTCCACAATTACACACACACACACACACACACACACACACACACGGAAGATTGAGGCTAAATTCTGCAATCTGCTCTGGTCTTGCCTCTAATAGAACTTGTTGCCATCATAGGGATGCTGACCTATGGTCAGTGACAAAGAACAAAGGTGATTAAATCTATGCTGTGGCTAGGACCCGTGGAGGATGGGGAAGGAGACCCCAAGAACAAACAGGTTCTCTTACCTTGATAGGGCGGGGAATGTCAGGTTTCTTCCAGCGAAGGACAATCTGTCCAGCAACTGTGACCCCATAGAAGAGGTAGTTGATGAAACCCACGTAGTTGATAAGTGTGTACATGTCACTGGTGACCAGCATTAGTAGAGTGGAGAGACACTAGGGAAACAGGGGTTCATCACAGTGATGAGAAGGAAATTGGGAGTCTGGAAAGTCAGGGGGTATTCCTCCCCTCCACATAGACTATACTAAATAAAATAGGGTCGTAAGCATATCAAGGTGGAGACTTCTCACCCTTAGTAGTCCAGTTGTTACTCCACATTTATTGGTAGGTCCTTCCTTTCCTTCCTTCCTTCCTTCTTTCCTTCCCTCCTTCCTTCTTTCCCTTTGCACTAGCACTGAGGCTTGAACTCAAGGCCTGGGCACTGTCCCTCACATTTTTGGCTCAAGTTGAGTCATGCCTCTACTTCTGGCTTTTTGGTGGTTAGTTGGAGTCTGATGGACGTTCCTGCCGAGGCTAGCTTTGTTTCATGATCCTCAGATCTCATTTTCCTGAGTTGTTAAGATAACAACACACTTAAGCCACTAGTACCTGGCAGGAAGTTCTCTCTTATTGCAAAGGTATAATCAAAATATTTAACCATGGGACGCCATGGAGACTATCCACTCACACTATAGTCACTTGGCTCTGTCTCAGCCCTAGTTTCATTTTATATATTTCTCTTGGTTATATTTCAAGCAAATTTACTTTTCATTTTTTTCCCCTCCCTTTAGGGAAGATTATTAACTGAAGATTAAAGCTTTGTCCTTGTCCCCATCCTTTTCTTCTGGCTGAGTCATCTAATTTATTTTCTTTCTTTTTTTTTCCCTTTTTAAAATGGACAAACAGTTACATAACCATGTTTAATTGTAGCCTTCTGATAATAGGAATTCATTTAACCTTCATAATATTTCTATGAGGTTTTCTTGATGAAGGTCACTTCCCAACTTTAAAGTCATCTCTGTGGCTCTCAGAGAATCAACTGTGCTCTTGCCCTATGATTATCTGTGAAGGCCAAAGAAAGGTACTGTCCTCTCCTGAAATCTGATGGTGAGAAGATTTTTTAATGATTGGATAAGCCAGATTTTGTTGCCCTTGTCCTGCAGCCAAAGAATTGCATCAGCTGCTCAGAAGAAAAAAAAGAAAAGTAGCCCAGTGCCAGTGGCTCACAGCTGTAATCCTAGCTACTCAGGAGGCTGAGATCTGAGGATCGTGGTTCAAAGCCAGCCCAGGCAAGAAAGGCAGTGAAACTCTTATCTCCAATAAACCACCAGAAAACTAGAAGTGGCGCTGTAGCTCAAGTAGTAGAGAGCTCACCTTGAGCTGAAGAGCTGAGAGACAGCGCCCAAGCCCAGAGTTCAAGCCCCACGACCGACAAAAAGAAAAAGAAAGAAAGGAGAAAAAGATAGGTGGCTCACTGAGAATACTGTCTTTTCCCCTCATCTCCTGCAATGAACCCATCATGACCTCACTCTCCGCCTGAACATTCTGAAATTCCCCCAGGAAGCACTGGCCACTTCTCCAGTGCACTGAAGCCATTTTTAATATTCTATTCAAGATTCAGAAGAATAAAAATAACAAGTCAATGATGACATGTCTTTGCTCTATCCTTTATCTCTCTAGGGACATTTTACCCCTGTGTCCTCTCTATTCCAAATTTTCCTTTTTCTAACTTTAGGTAATCAGTCTTCTTCTCTTTATAAGATTTTTTTTTCTCCTTATTTTGGTGTATCCTTAACACTAAATTTGTTTCAGTGACATTTTCTAAGAGATGGACAGGGTGCCCTGGGGCAAAAAGGTAGGAGGTCAGAGAGGAGCAGTGGGTGGGTGAGTGCCAGAACCAGCCCCAAGCAGAGGCTAAGCACACCAGGGCTACACCCTGAGAGAACAAGTGACTGAAAATAGGAGGAAGTCTTTGTTAAGACTGCAGAATTCTAAGCCAATCACTTCCAACTGCCTCGCCTTCCACCTCAGAGGAATGAGGAAAAAGAGCCAGCCTGAGAGTTTTAAGATATTTGCCCTCAAGATCCTTCCTTATTATATCCTTTGTTGGTGGTGGTATTGGTTCTGGGGCTTGAACTCAGAGCCTGGGCACTGTCTCAGAGCTTTTTTGCTCAGTGCTAATGCTCTACCACTTTGAATCATAGATCTACTTCTGGTTTTCTACTAGTTGATGGAGATAAGAGTCCCAGGGACCTTCCTGACCAAGCTGGTTTTGAACTGCTATCCTCAGATCTCAGCCTCCTGAGTAGCTAGGATTACAGGTGTGAGCCACCAGCACCTGGCTTTTTGTTTGTGCCTGAACTGGGACTTGAACTCAGGGCCTTTAGCCTTCCCTTGGCTTTTTTCCATACAAGCCTGGTGTTCTACCACTTGAGCCGTAGCTCCACTTGTGGGTTTTGCTGGCATGGGTTTTGCTGGTGAATTGGTGGGAAGAGTCTCACAGACTTTTTTACTCTGGCTAGCTTTGAACCACGATCCTCAGATCTCAGCTTCTTGAGAAGCTAGCTAGAATTACAGGTATGAGCTATCAGTGCCTGGCTTGTTATATTATTTAGTATCAGTAAAACCAATGAATATAGTTTCTAGGCTATCTAAGGCCTGAGGAGCAGACCGTGTATGTGTGTGTGTGTGTGTGTGTGTGTGTGTGTGTGTGTGTGTGTAAAACTATGGACTCCCAGGTGAGCATAAGCACAAAGAAGAATGTGTGTTGGGCTAGTGGCAGTCAGGAAAGGCCCTTACTGTGAAGAGCAGAGCTGGGATTGGGGTGCAGCGCTTCACGTGGATCATGGCCAACACGCTGGGAAGGTGGCCTTCTCTGGCTCCAGCAAAGAACAACCTAGCAGGGAGAAAAGCAGGTCAGCTTGGGATAGCCATGGACCATCCATCATGCCAGGGTTCCCTCACCCACGCCTACCATCTGCCCATACGTCTCTCCAACCAGGACCCTGCCTTTGTATGCACATTTTCCACAAGTCATCATATGACCTGTATCACAAATGCATGTGTGTAGGCCATCCAGAGTCTGATAAAATTTCTGGATGTGTGGTCACCCTGGGTGTGGTTTGGCTGGCTCAGGACACTGATTGGATTGTCACTTTGCACCACTCCTAATCTAATGATGCAGGTCCTTTACAAATGAGCTATTTATTTATTATTTGCAAGTCCTAGGGCTTGAACTCAGAGCCTGGGCACTGTCCCTGAGCTTATTTTGCTCAAGGCTAGTAGCACTCTTGAGCCACAGTGCCACTTCCAGCTTTTTCTCTTTATGTGGTACTGAGGAATCGAACCCAGAGCTTCATGCATGCTAGGCAAGCACTCTACCACTGAGCCAGCCCCCCTGAGCTATATTTTAATGCTGTTACTGGGTCTTAAATTCAGGGCCTGAGCACTCTCACTGGACTATTTTCACTCAAAGCTGGCATTCTACCACTTGAGCCACCTACTTGTAGGTTTTTTTTGCTGTTTAATTGGAGAGAGGAGTTTCTCAGATTTGTCTGCCCAGCTGGCTTCAAATCTTGATCCTTAGATCTCAGCGTCCTGAGTAGCTAGGATTACAGGCATGAGCTACTGGTGCCTGGTCTAAAAATGGGTCTTCTTGACCCACAAAGGATATAGATTCTCTGATACACTTGTAGGGATTGAATTGTATGTGAGAAACTTTATAAATATTTTTTTTCCATTCAGAAGGTAGTTGCTTCAACCAAGGTTGAGAGTGAGCAGGAGACAGAAAAGGGTCAGGTAGGAACCTGGGGGACTTGGAGAAATGTTCTGGGTGGTGGTCACATGACTAAATAGCTGCCAATGCTCATGAGATTGAATACTTATCAACTGTATATTTAGTTAATTAATTAATTTTTTGTTCGTCATGGGACTTGAACTCTGGGCCTGGGCTCTGTCCCTGAGCTCTTGAGCTCAAGGCTAGTGCTCTACTACTTGAGCCACATCACCACTTCTGGTTTTCTGGTAGTTAATTGGAGATAAGAATCTTACGGACTTTCCTGCCCAGGCTGGCTTTGAGGATCCTCAGATCTCAGCCTCTTGAGTAGCTAGGATAGAGGCGTGAGCCAGTGGTGCCCAGCTAAGAATATTTTGTTTTTTTAAAAAAAAGATTATATAAGAACATATGCGGGGCTGGGAAGGTGGCTCAGTGGTAGAGCGCTTGCCTTGCATGCATAAGGCGCTGGGTTCAATTCCTCAGCACCATATAAGCAGAAAAGGCCAGAAGGGGCGCTGTGGCTCAAGTGGTAGAGCGTTAGGTACAGGACCCAGGGTCAGAGTTCAGGGCCCACAACCAGAAAAAAAAAAAAAGGAAAGAAAATTGTAACTCCTCTGTACAGTATTTTCACAATAAAAATCTTAAAAAAAAAAAAAAAGAACATATGCATGGGACGGGGAAGGTGGCTCAGTGGTAGAGCACTTGCCTTGAATGCATGAGGCCCTGGGTTCGATTCCTCAGCACCACATAAGCAGAAAAAAAAAAAGCTGGAATTGGCACTGTGGCTAAAGTGGTAGAGTGCTAACCTTGAGCTGAGGGAAAGCGCCCAGGCCCAGAGTTCAGGCCCTATGACCGGACCCAAAAAAATAAAAAAAATAAATAAATAAGAACATATGCACAATGTAACATTACATTTAAAAGGAGACAGAAAGAACTGAAAACTATGATTCCAAGCTAGGCATGGAGGAGTACACCTGCAATCCAAGCACTAGGAAGGCAGAGGCAGGAGAATTGAGAGTTTCAGGCTAACTTGAGCTACATAGCAAGTGTATGTGAAGCAGAAAAGAAGGAAGTTAGGAAGGAATGAAGAATACTGTGATTTTAATAGCTTAAAAAAATTGATTTAAAAGAAAATTCCCTGAAAAAAGTAAAATGGTGCTGGTGGCTCACACCTATAATCCTAGCTACTCAGGAGGCTGTGATCTGAGCATCAAGGTTTGAAGGCAGCACCTCAGAGGAAGGGGATGGTGTGATAGGGACAAAAAGACAGAATTAGCACAGTGGGAGGTGTGTGTGTGTGTGTGTGTGTGTGTCCATGTAGCCCATTAAACTCAAAATCTTCCTATGTTAGCTTCCCAAGTGCTGTGATTACAGGTATGTTATACACATCCAGAGCATGCAGGGAGTTCTAAAGAGAACTAGTATTTACTTTCTAAAGAGAACTATTATTTACTTTGTAATTTGTATATGAGGTAAGAGTGAACGAACGAGCAGCAGCTGTCGGAAGTGCACTTGTCATCATGTGCTACCTAGACCAGTGTCACTAGTTTCATGCAATCACAGGCGTCCCAGCCCCCTCCCCATGCCATCTCCCCTTGCCATGCGGCCTCATGCAGTAGACTGAGCCCTGGCACTTGATGGGACTCTTTGTCCACACAGCTAGGGTCCTACCCTTCCTCTACACTCAGCCAGGACCAAGAATAATTGCCTGGGTTCATCAGCATTCTCAAATGTCCTAGCTCCTCAGAATCATCCTTTCAGTATCCCAGAGCACAAAAGAGTAAGAGAGATAAGGGAAGGAGGAGGAAGGAAAGAACTGGAAGATGAGCAGAGGAGGTCTGGGTGGGTGAGGTCAGGCCTCTGAACCAGAGGCCGAGCACACCATGCACCACTGTCTCCCGCATGCATGCACAACTATGCCACATGCACGCAGGCCACTGAGTGGCCTGCCCCCAGGGACAAACCCCACTCTAAAGTGACTGTAGCCAGTCACTGTCCTCCAACAGCCTCATGTGTCACTGCTCTTCCACTGTTGGCCTTTGGCTGGGGCTTCCAGGTAGCCACTGCTCCTGTGTAACACGCACACGAGGTTTCTGTGGGTGAGTGTCATAGGCTTCTTTCCTGCCCTACCCTGGATCCTAAAAACATGGTCATTTCACAGGACCTCCTCCCTGACATTAAGGAATCATTTATTTATCTTGTTTTTCCAGTACTGAGATTTGAACTCAGATCCTTGATCTTTCTTAGCTGGCTCTCTACTACTTGAGCCATGCCTCTAGCTTTTTGCTGGTTATTTTGGAGAGGGAGTCTTACAGTCTTCTTTGACTGGATTGGCTTTGAATCTCAATTCTTAGATCTCAGCCCCCTGAGTAACTAAGACTCCAGGTGTGGGCAACCAGCATCCAGTTAGCACTTGCCTGTTGAGTAGCAAACAGACCTAAATCCACATGACACTCTGAGTGCTCTTATTCCATGTACAGTCTTGTTCTAGAATATTGAGGAAGCCAGATCCAGAGGCCCCAAGACAGGAATGCCTCCTGGTCCCTTTCAGAGCAGGGTTTCTTCTTAGCTAGCAGCAGCCTGTGTTTAGATGAGTGGGACTACAGCCAAGCCACTGCTGCCAATCACAGCCCTTGCTCCTTCAGAAACCACACAGCCTACCACAGGTGAAACACAACCTGCACGCCATATATACTGGTCACTGCGTGCATAGCATACCCCTCAGCACCCACACTGACACATACACATTTCTGCAAAGCTACTTCCGAAGGAGCCTACACAGACCCCTGCTGACAGAGACAAGCCCACCATATCCACACAGAACAATGCATAGGGCAGAATGGTCCAGGAAGGGCCCAGGCAAAACTCACCGGGAGGAGGTGAAGAGAGAGCCATTAACTCCTCCAAAAGTGGACAGGGCCACAGAGATGGGCATGATCCAGGCCATGACACCCAAAAGCTTCTCTCCAAAAGTCTGGGGAAAAAAACAAGGTGGGGAGTAGAAAAGGAGAATTACAACACTCTACCCCAGCTTTTGTCTCCCTTCCCCACCTGCAGATTCTCTCTGGCCAATCAACTCCAGAGCCCAGGCCCTTGTTGCCATGTCTACTGGCAACTACACATCAGGAGTCAATTCATGCTTTGGGTTAATTCACCGAAGGATCGATCCAGTGTATGTGGCAAAAATAATAGTGATGAACTAACACTTATGATCCTTTTTTATGAATGAAGAAATTTGGGAATATAGTAGTAACTTATCTCAGTGCCCTCCTTGGAGATGGAAACCAAGTGGGGTGAGTCCAGGCCTCCCAGGGAGAGGGAGACATCTAGATAGGCTTGTGAGTTACACAGGCCTGAATTCAAATCCTAGCTCTACCTTGAGTGAAGATTGTAATTTCTTTTTCTAATGCTGGGGATGAAACCTAGGGTTTTGCAAACATTGACATACATTTCTAGCCTGAGGTTTATAACTTTTGTGTGTGTGTGCTGGTACTGGGGCTTGAACTCATAAGTCTTGTTTAGTTTTTTTGCTCAAGGCTAGCACTCTACTATTGAGCCCCAGCTCTATTTCCAGCTTTTTGCTGGTTAACTGGAGATAAGAGCCTTTCAGATTTGTTTGCATTAGCTAGAATTGAACCATGATCCTCAGAACTCAGCCTCCTGAATAGCTGGGATTAAAGGCATGAGCCATCAGCCTGGGTTATCTATTTTTGAGGATAGGTCTTATTATGTAACCCAGACTAGTCTCTTCCTCAGGATTCTCCTGCCTTACCCTCTTGAATGCTGCAAGTTTATAATTGTTTTCTCCTCCTTCCTTTCTTCCTTCCCCCCTCCCTCCCTCTTTTTTTTTTTTTCTTTTTTGCATGGTACCAAGGATTTAATCCAGGCTCTTGTCCTTGCTAGGCAAGTACTCTACCATTTGAGCTTTGCCCCCAGCTCACAAGTTTGTATTTTTTTAGTGATGGTCTTACGGCTTGAACTCAGGCCTGGGCACTGTTCCTGAGCTTTTGTGCTCAAGGCTAGCTCTCTACTACTTGAGCCACAGTTCCTTTCTGGCTTTTCAGTGGTTAATTAAAGATAAGAGAGTCTCAGAAAGCCCGGCGCCGGTGGCTCACGCCTGTAATCCTAGCTACTCAGGAGGCTGAGATCTGAGGATCGGGGTTCAAAGCCAGCCCGGGCAGGAAAGACTGTGAGACTCCTATCTCCAATATACCACCAGAAAACCGGAAGTGGCGCTGTAGCTCAAATGGTAGAGCGCTCGCCTTGAGCTGAAGAGCTGAGGGACAGCGCCCAGGCCCAGAGTTCAGGCCCCACGACTGGACCAAAAAAAAAATAGCTGGGCGCCAGTGGCTGTCCCTCAGCGCTGTCCCTCAGCGCCCAGGCCCAGAGTTCAAGCCCCACGACCGACAAAAAAAAAAGAAAAAAAAACATAGGGGGTTGGGAAGTTGGCTCAGTGGTAGAGAGCTTGCCTTGAATGCATGAGGCCCTGGGTTCGATTCCTGAGCACCACATAAGCAAAAAGAAAAAAGCCGGAAGTGGCGCTGTGGCTCAAGTGGTAGAGTGCTAGCCTTGAGCTGAAGAGCTGAGGGACAGCGCCCAGGCCCAGAGTTCAGGCCCCACGACTGGACCTGGACCAAAAAAAAAATAGCTGGGCGCCAGTGGCTCATGCCTGTAATCCTAGCTACTCAGGAGGCTGAGATCTGAAGATCATAGGTCAAAGCCAGACAGGGCAGGAAAGTCCATGAGACTCTGATCTCCAATAAACCACTAGAAAACCAGAAGTGGCGCTAGGGCTCAAGCAGTAGAGCGTTCACCTTGAGCTGAAGAACTCAGGGACAGCACCCAAGCTCAGAGTTCAAGCCCTAGATCTACAAACAAAAAAACAAAAACAAAAAAAAACAGAAGTGGCACTGTGGCTCAAGTGTTGCTAGTCTTAAGCACAGAGAGGCTCAGGGACAGAGCCCAGGCCCTGAGTTCAAGCCCCAGGACAAAAAAAAAAAAAAAAAAGGTCTCAGGAAGCTGAGTACTTGTCTGTGGCTCACACCTGTAATCCTAGCTACTCAGAAGCTGTGATCTGAGGATTGAGGTTTGAAGCCAGCCCAGGCATAAAAGTCCCCAAGAGACCCTTACCTCTGATTAACCATTCAAAAACCAGAAGTGGCCCTGTGGCTCAAAGTGGTAGAGCATTAGCCTTAAATAAAACAGCTCAAGGACAATGCTGAGGTCCTGAGTTCAAGCCCCATGACCAATTGAAAAAAGATCTCAGTGACTTTCTGCCTGAGCTGGCTTTGAACTGTGAACCTCAGATCTTAGCCTCCTGAGTAGGTAGACACAAATCACTAGTTCCCCACAGGCTTGTAATTTTTTTTTTTTTTTTTGTCAGTCATGGGGCTTGAACTCTGGGCCTGAGCACTGTCCCTCAGTGATTCAGTTCAAGGCTAGTGCTTTACCACCTGAGCTACAGCATCACTTCCAGTTTTCTGGCCCTTTATTGGAGATAAGAGTTTCATGGACTTTTCTGCCCCTGCGGGTTTTGAACTGTGATCCTCAGATCTCAGCTTCCTCAGTAGCTAGGATTACAGGCCTGAGCCACTTGTGCTGGCTAAATTTGTAATTTTTGAGCCTCATTTTCCCATCTGTAAAATAAAGATGGATCCCAACTTATAGCATGATTTCTAAATGTGTAAACTAGTTTATGCTGGTGGAAACATATGAATCAACCAAACTTTGATTCTAAATGTATAGATTATAGACTTTGTGTTCTGAAGAGACTAAAAGGTTGTGGGCTGGCTTTCTTAGTGCTCTGAGTCAGGTTTATTGCCCGTGCCAGGGGAGAGATTGTCTAGGCCAGATGTCCTGCTGTGTGGGAAGTTGTTGGTCATGGGAACAGGCTGCCAAGGGAGGTGGCAGGCCCTTTTAATTTTGTCTCCTGAGAAAAGACACAGAATGACTTTGGCAGGGTGGAGTATGGTTCAGCCTGAGGCTAGAAGCAGCATTGCTTCCAGGCCTTTCTCCAGAGTCAAGGATCTCAGGATTTCCCAAAGAGCATGAACGACTCCAATGATTGAACTGTTCACCAGCACCCGCTTTTCCCTGATAAGGGAAGGAATCAGCTTATATGATTCCTAGAGGAGGGAATGAAGGCAGAGAAATGAGTGATTACTTTATGTAATGGTATGAAAGTCTCCCCTATATGATCCTCAAAGTCCAGAGTTTACAGTGTCTAAGCTCAGGAGCCAGCACATTTATTTTGTAAAGCATTGGATACCAGGCATTTCAGCTTCACAGACTCAGCTCTGCCATGTAGCTACTCTAGACCAAACCCAGCCATCAGTTTGTTCCTGGACACTTGTAAATTCTGCCCTGATGATTTGGCATGATGTCACCTGTGTCAGATCATGGCTCAGGAAAAAGTATGTGGGGCTGACTCTATGTCAGTGTTCTAGGTTTGAGACCCTGAGTTTGATTTCTTACCACAGCGACTGCGTTTGATGCCAGCAGCTCCTGAGGGGACATTGCAGTGACATACGCGACATTGGCAAAGACATACACAAATGTGACCAGTGGGATGGAGATGAAGATGGCTCTGGGAAGGTTCCTGTAGAGGGAGAGGAGGTGAGAGGGCACACCTGTTCTGCCAATGAATCTGCCTGAGCCTGGCTCTTGTAGCTTCTCTGGGCTTCCTCACCCCGGGAGATGGGTTTTATCTCAGTTGGGACAAGGTATATGTAGAAATGAAATGGCTGGTGCTGATTGCTTGCTTCTTGACCCAGATCTCTGCCACAGACTGCCTCAAGTCACAAGGACCAGCCTGTCCTGTAACAGGGAAATGGCTCAGAGCCTTGAGGGACACAATTCATCCTCTAAGGCAGCTGACTCTTAGTCAACACAGTATGCAGCTTTTAACCTGCCTAGGGACATTCATGAGACTCTGTCTTTCCTCTGGACAGGGTGGATGGCAAATGGTTTCAGTTCCTGGGAAATGAGCTGTTCCTTTAGGACAAACCAGAGCAAGGTCAGGATGGGGACTGGAGAAGGGGTCAGTGCACACCTGCTCCCTATGCCCAGCAGCAGTTACTGTTGAGGCCTCTCAAAGGGGGAGGGGATGAGCTGGACTATTGAAACTCACTTGTAGGGATCCACAAGTTCCTCAGTCACATAATTAAGAAAGTTCCACCCTCCATAGGCAAAGGATCCCTGAAGGAAAGCCAGGGCAATAAGGCCAATGTCAGGTTCCTGGAAATTCTCAAACGCATTCTTTGGCTCCAGCCAGAAGAATTCGCCTGTGGACAAAATGGACAAGAGGCTGTTCAGAGAGACAAGTCTAGGTGCCCCCATCCAGGCTCACTGCCCCACCTCCACCCCCTCTGTCTGTGAACATACTCCAGCTTTTTTTTTTTTTTTTTGGTCTGGTCGTGGGGCCTGAACTCTGGGTCTGGGCGCTGTCCCTCAGCTCTTCAGCTCAAGGCTAGCCCTCTACCACTTGAGACACAGCGCCACTTCCGGCTTTTTTCTTTTTTCTTATGTGGTGCTGAGGAATTGAACCCAGGGTCTCAAGCATGCAAGGCAAGCGCTCTACCACTGAGCCACCTTCCCAGCCCATTTTTTTTTCTTTTTCTTTTTTGTCAGTTGTGGGGCTTGAACTCTGAGCCTGGGCGCTGTCCCTCAGCTCTTCAGCTCAAGGCGAGCGCTCTTCCACTTCAACCACAGTGCCACTTCCGGTTTTCTGGAGGCTTATTGGAGGTAAGAATCTCATGGACTTTCCTGCCCGGCTGGCTTTGAATCGTGATCCTCAGATCTCAGCCTCCTGAGTAGCTAGGATTACATAAGTGAGCCACTGGCACCCGGCTACTCTAGCTTTATAGTCTATGGTGAACCCAGTGTGTCATAGAAGTGGAGTTAAAAGGAGCAAGGAAGTTCAGGTGCTGAACTTCCCAGTGCCTCAGAGCCCTAAATTCATATAGCCTGGGTTGAAAGCATGATTTTGAATGCTGCTTTTAAAACAAGGAAGTGTCACTGTGGCTCAACAGGTAGAACGCTTGCCTGAGCTCAAGAGTGCAGGGATAGTGTGCAGGTCCAAGTACAAGCCCCATGACCAAAAAATAAAGTTGTTTTTTAAGGGGCTGGGAAGGTGGCTCAGTAGTAGAGTGCTTGCCTTGCATGCATGAGGCCCTAGGTTCAATTCCTCAACACCACATAAGAGGAAAAATCCAGAAGTGGCGCTGTGGCTCAAGTGGTAGAGCACTGTCCTTGAGCTGAAAAGCTGAGGGACAGTGTCCAGGCCCAGAGTTCAGGCCCCACAACTGACAACAAACAAACAAATAAACAGACAAGGGGCTGGGAAGGTGGCTCAGTGGTAGAGCGCTTGCCTTGCATGCATGAGGCCCTGGGTTCAATTCCTCAGCACCACATAAGCAAAAAGAAAAAAGCCGGAAGTGGCGCTGTGGCTCAAGTGGTAGAGCGCTAGCCTTGAGCTGAAGAGCTGAGGGACAGCGCCCAGGCCCAGAGTTCAGGCCCCATGAACGGACCCCCCCAAAAAACAAAAACAACAAACAAATAAACAAACAAACAAAAGCTAATGTGAAATTGGTAAATTGGAAACAGTATTGGACCCTTGGTAGTGTCCTGACCATCTTCCCCGATATCTACGCTTGTGCATTTTCATGACGAAAGCATCAAGAGGGCTGGGAATGTGGCTCAGTGATAAAGGGCTTGCCTACCATGCATGAGGCCCAGAGTTCGATTCCTCAGTACCACACACACAGAAAAAGCCAGAAGTGGTGCTATGGCTCAAGTGGTAGAGCTCTAGCCTTGAGCACAAAGAAACTCAAGGGCAGTGCCAGGCCCTGAGTTCAAGCCCCAGGACTGGCAACAACAACAACAACAAAAAGGAAGCGAGGGAGAGAGCGAGCGAGAAAGCATCAAAAACAACAAACATAAGTTTCTTTGTTGTTCAAGCTTGTTAACATTTTTTCTCCTTCCTTCTTTCTTTCCCTTCCTGTTTTTTCTTCCTTCTTTCTTTTTTCTTTTTGTCGGTCTTGGGGCCTGAACTCTGGGCCTGGGCGCTGTCCCTCAGCTCAAGTGGTCTACCACTTGAGCCACAGTGCCACTTCCAGCTTTTTCTGCTTATGTGGTACTGAGGAATTGAACCCAGGGCCTCACGCATGCAAGGCAAGCACTCTACCACTGAGCCACCTTCCCAGCCCATTCCTTTTTTCTTTCCTTCCTCCCTCCCTCCCTCTTTCCTCCTCACCTTTCCTCTCCTCTCCTTACCCTCCCACTCTTCCTTCCTCTCTCTCTTTATTTCTCTTACCAGTACTAAGTTTGAACTCAGGGCTTTGCACTCTTGCACCCTAGCTCAGCTCTTTTGCTCAAGGCTGATGCTCTACTACTTGAGCCACACCTCCACTTCTGGCTTTTTGATGGTTAACTGGAGATAAGAATTTCAGAGAGTTTTTGGTCTGGGTTGGTCTGGTTTGAATCATGATCCTCAGATCTCAGCCTCCTGAGTAACTAGGACAGACATAAGCCCCTCAGTGCCCAGATATCTTGTCCCTTTGTAAGGTGCAGCTTGGTCTCCTTTTTCATGGTATTTTAGTAATTTAAATTTAGTAATTTAAATTGCCTTCCCACTGCTTTCTGCAGTGTCTTACACACTATGGCTCTCATAAAAGGTTGCTGGATTGCAGGGTATAGCTCAGTGGTAGAGAGCCTGGCTAGCACACACATGCACAAAGCCTTGGTTGTATTTCTAGCACCAAAGACTTAATCCAATTGATTAAGATAATCAGGAATACACTATAGCAGAAATTTGTTTTCTGGAGTAAGGTTCCCCTCACTGTCAGCAGTGCCTGTGGGCAGGCAGGAAGTCTCCCTGATTTTCATCTGATTTGCAATTGACACTGAACAGAGCCTAGTGGTGTAATGGGTACCATGGAAACCAAATACAAGACTCTCAGCTTAGAAAGGACCAAATCCAATGGGGAATGTTGGCAGGGGCCCCGGGAATGTAGGGCTCTCTTTTGCAGAGAATATGAGTAATTTTGAAAAATAAAATTCTCCTTTGTTCACCATTTTAAGATATGGACAGGGCACCAAAGAAGATGCAGGATGCTTTACTTTACAGAGATTTGGGGTCTTTACCTGGCTGTGCAAGCATGGGGAAGTAGATCTTTGCAAGATGAGGTGGTGGTGGTGGTGATAGTTGCATTCCTAACCCTGGGGAAAACGGCTTGTAATCTCTTTATGGAACAAGCAAAGAACTCTGGAAGCCAGAACTGAGAGATCTCAGGATGTGTACATGCAAGTTGTGTGGGGCCCTGCTGGTCCATGACACTCACCTTTGCATATCTGTACAATTCCCATGATGATGATCAGCGCCAGGGCCAGGAGCTTCCCAGCTGTAAAGATGTCTTGAACCCGAGTGGCCCACCGCACACTGGAGCAGTTGACCCATGTGAGAAGCACTGGAATGACAGAGATGCCCAGACATGTCCTGAGAAGCTACGTGAGGCTGCACAAGTGCTCTTCTTGCTCCTGAGAATGGAACTGTGACAAGCGAGCTAAACATATCACAAGCTCAGCTCCAGTGACCAGAGACTTTGGCTATGTTAACCAAATACAAATAAGGATTACATGCCCCAAATTAGAGCTTGGTCAGAGCACACCCAGGGCTAGAAGCCAAAACCTGGCAGGGAAGTTAGGCACGAGTATGGACTTAGTATTCAAGCCATTTATCTCTTCAAGGGGAACCATAAGCAGCTACTGAGATCTTGGAAGTTGCTTTTCTGAGCCCGATTTTGAGGCAAGAGATGTTTAGGGACTCTTTATTTGTCAAGGTATAATTTGTATGATATATATATATATTTTTTTTTGCTTATGTGGTGCTGAGGAATTGAACCCAGGGCTTCATGCATGAGAGGCAAGCACTCTACCACTAAGCCAACTTCATAGCCCTTGTCAAGGTATAATTTGTATCTTGTGAAATTCACTCTGTGTGTGTGTGTGTGTGTGTGTGTGAATGTGTGTATATGTTGTGATGCTGGAGATGGATCCTAGGGCCTCATATATACTAGGCAAGCACTCTATTACTGAGCTACAACTCTATTATTATTATTATTATTATTAATTTCAGAGATTTTCTCTGTAGCACAGTCTGGCCTCAAACTCCTGGTCCTCCTGCCTTAGCCTGCCAAGAACTGGAATTACAGGTGTTTATCTCTACAACCGGCTCAAATTTCACTATTTTTTTCTTTCTGTTATAGGGTTTGAATTTGAAGCCTGGTACTTGTTTGACTTATTTGCTCAACTGGTGCTTTACCACTTAAACCATACTTCCAGCCAAGATTTCTCTTGGTTATTTTGTTAATACCAGAGCTTGAACTCAGTACCTTGCACTCTCATTTGGCTTTTCTTGCTTATGGCTGGTGCTCTACCACTTGAGCCACACCCCAACTCTAGTTGGTTATTTTGGAAATGGAGTCCCTCAGACTTATCTTTCTCTGTCAGGTCTCCTGTGTAGGATTATAGATGTGAGCCACCTTTTTTAAGACTCTAATTTAATGAGATTTTTTATATACTTTTTTATTGTAAAAGTGCTATACAGAGGGTTACAGTTACATGAACAAGGTAATGAGTATACTTCCTATTGAGCATTGTTGCCTCCTCCTTCATTTCGCCCCTACCATCCCTTCCCTCCCACCTCCACAACTACTCCCTCCCCCTCATGATGTTATAAAGTTCTTTTTCAATAATTTAATGAGATTTGACAAATGTATTTACATTGTTTAATCATTACCACACTCACTATGTAGAACATTTCTAACACTCTACAAGGCTGTCTATTTACCTCTGGCCAACACTAGTTTGATTTCTGTCCCTATAGTAGTAGTTTTGCTTTTTTCAGAATATCACATAAATAAACAGAACCATAAAATATGTGGGTTTTTGCATCTGGCTTCTTTCACCTAACATAATAATGCTTTGAAATCTATTCATGTGGGGTTGGGAAGGTGGCTCAGTGGTAGAGTGCTTGCCTTGCATGCATGGGGCCCTGGGTTCTATTCCTCAGCACCACATAAGCAGAAAAGGCCAGAAGTGGGGCTGAGGCTCAAATGGTAGAGTGCTAGTCTACAGCTGAAGAGCTCAGGGACAGCGCCCAGGCCAAGTTCAGGCCCCACAACCGACCAAAAAAAAAAAATCTATGCATGTTGCTTTACAGTGGTAATTTGTTTTTGTTTTTGTCAGTTGTGGTGCTTGAACTCAGGGCCTGGGTGTTGTCCCTGAACTTTTTTATTCAAGGCTAATGCTCTACCACTTTGAGATACAGTGCCAATTCTGGGTTTCTAGTAGTTAATTGGAGATAAGAGTTTCACTGACTTTCCCGGCTGCGAAGGTTTTGAATCCAATCTTCAGATCTTAGCCTCAGGGAGTAGCTAGGATTATAGGTGTGAGCCAGCGGCACTCAGCTTGTTCTTTTTAATTGTTAAAGACTATTCTGGGAGATGGGAAGGGATAGGAAGGGGAAACAGAGGAGGCAACAATGCTTGATAAGAAATGTACTCATTATCTTCCCGTGTAATTGTAACTCCTCTGAACAGTATTTTCACAACAAAAAAAAAAGACTTTTCAGTTACGTGGTGGTATCCAGTTTTGTTTTGTTTTTCACTCTGATGGACATTTAATTGGCTCCCAGTAAATATAACTGCTATTTAAAAAAAAAAAAAAACTTGCATAGAGTCTGGTATGATGGTGCATGCCTGTAATCCCAGCAACTGGGAGGCAGGGGCAGGAGTATTGAAAGTTGGAGGCTACCTTGGGCTACATGGTGAAGACTTTGTCTCAAAAAATAAAGAAGAGGGGCTGAGATTGTGACTTAGTGGTAAAGTGCTTGCCTAGAATGCATCAAACCCTGGGTTCTATTCCTTAGTACCAGAAGTGATGCTATGGCTCAATGGTGGAGTGCTAGCCTTGAGCAAAAGAAGCTCAGGAACAGTGCCCAAGCCTTGTGTTCAAGCCCCAGGACTGAAACAAAAAAGAAAAAAAGGAAGAAAGGAGGAAGAAAGAAAAGATTTGCTTAGAAGTTTTTGAGTGAGGGCTGGGAAGGTGGCTCAGTGGTAGAGTGCTTGCCTTGCATGCCTGAGGCCCTGGGTTCGATTCCTCAGCACCACTTAAGCAAAAAGAAAAAAGCCGGAAGTGGCGCTGTGTCTCAAGTGGTAGAGGGCTAGCCTTGAGCTGAAGAGCTGAGAGACAGTGCCCAGGCCCAGAGTTCAGGCCCCACGACTGGACACCCCCCCCCCAAAAAAAGAAGTTTTTGAGTGAATACTTGTGGTTTTTGAGTGGGGTTTTCATTTTTATTGAATAAATTCTAGGGAATAGAATTTTGGGTATTTTGGTAAATACACATTTAATTTTATAAACTGAGCCGGGTGCCAGTGGCTCAAGCCTGTAATCCTAGATACTCAGGAGGCTGAGATCTGAGGATCAGGTTCACAACCAGCCAGGGCAGGAAAAGTCTATGAGACTCTTATCTCTAAGAAACCACCAGAGAACTGGAAGTGGTGCTGTAGCTCAAGTGGTAGAGCGCTCGCCTTGAGCTGAAGAGCTGAGGGACAGCGCCCAGGCCCAGAGTTCAAGCCCCACAACCACCACCACCAACAACAACAACAAAAGAAGTTCAAAGCCAGCCTGGGCAAAGAAATCAGAGAGACTCTTATCTCCAACCAGCAAAAGGACAGAACCGGAGATATGGCTCAAGTGGTAGCTTAAGAAATCTGCAAGTAGGGCTGGGAAGGTGGCTCAGTGGTAGAGTGCTTGCCTTGCATGCATGAGGCCCTAGGTTCGATTCCTAGCACCACATAAGCAAAAAGAAAAAAACCGGAAGTGGCACTGTGGCTCAAGTGGTAGAGCGCTGAGGGACAGTGCCCAGGCCCAGAGTTCAGGCCCCATGACCAGACCCCCCCCCCAAAAAAAAAAGATGAAAAAAAAGAAATCTACAAGTGGGCTGGGAAGGTGGCTCAGTGATAGAGCGCTTGCCTTGCATGCCTGAGGCCCTGGGTTCGATTCCTCAGCACCACATAAACAGAAAAAAAAGCCAGAAGTGGCGCTGTGGCTCAAGTGGTAGAGCGCTAGCCTTGAGCTGAAGAGCTGAGGGACAGTGCCCAGGCCCAGAGTTCAGGCCCCACGACCAGACCCAAAAAAAAATAAAAAAGAAAGAAATCTACAAGTGAAAAAGCTGAGTAAGAGTGCAAGGCTCTGAATTCAAGCCTCAATATTGTCATGGACACACACACACACACACACACACACACACACACACACATTTCCACCATTTTTCTAAAGAGGCAACATCACTTTGTCTTCCTGCCAATAATATATATACAGATTCCTGTTATTCTGTATCCTTATCAACAACTGTTGTTATCAATTTATGCGCCCTCTCTTTATATAACTAATGTGTGTGTGTGTGTGTATTTGTGTGTGAGAGAGAAAGAGAGAGAGAGAGGGAGGAGGGGGAAGGGAGGGCAAGCACAAGCTTGGCTGTTTGGATGGGCAGCAAGAAGGACTATTTCACTGTGGTTTTGATCTGCATTTCCCTAGTGATTAGTGATGCTGAGAGCTAGCAAGGAGGGCTCTCGGCTTTGTTGCTACACTCCTCAAGCCACCCACCAAGCTCTGTGTGAAGGAGTGTGGTTCTCCGTTTCCAGATGGTTGTGAAAAGCTTGAGGACAAGGGAGAAGAAAATTAAAATCCTCTAGCTCCTCCTTTTCCTGAATATAGCGGTGACCAGGACACCCCCTAGTGCTCAAAAGGTACACATCGTCCACATAAAAGCATCAGACTATTTTTATTTCTTCATGCCTCCTGCAAGGACTGAGTCCTGAATGACTGATTAAGTTTTAGCAACACCTTACTGTTAAACTGAGCTTTTATTTTCCAAGGATTTCACAACCTTATTTGATCTGTGCTTGATCTCAGCAGGGCAGAAGCATGCTACATTGCATCCATCTGTGGTCTTCCTTCCTAAAACAACCTTCTCTACCTGACAGACCCCCTATTTTTCAAGAGTCCTGCCTCATCAAGCTTTGTGATTTTATTTATTATTAATAATAGGGCCTGCTGCCTGACACCAATAGCTCATGCTTGTAGCCCTAACTTCTTAGGAGGCTGAGATCTGAGGATAGAGATTTGAAGCTAGTCCAGGCACATACATCCAAGAGACTCTTCTATCCAATTAACCAGCCAAAAGCTGGAAGTAGAAATATTGCTCAAGTGCTAGCTTTGAGTGGAAAAAGCCAATCAAGAGCACAAGGCCCTGAGTTCAAGGACCTTAGCACACACACAAAAATAGTTTATCCTTTTTTGCTCCATAATGTCAGACTTTGGTGACAGTACTGGGGTTTGATCTCAGGGCCTCAGTGCTCTCCTTTGGCTTTTTTGCTCAAGTCTGATGCTCTA